TGAATTGGCTCATGTCAGTGTGTGCACACATGCAGGCTGGCTCTGGGAGCGTATCACAGCAGGGATCACATTTGAAACAGCCCCTGCGTGAGGCTCCTCCAAACAGCAGTTTTTGGTTTTTGTTTTTTCTCTCTCCCTAGAACATCCTACTGAAAGCCGCTTTGCTGCTCAGGGCAAGCCAGGCGCTTTCTACTCTTTCCTTACTCTTTGGCCCACAACCTAGCCAAAGCCCTGGGCTGACCATGAGTGGGATGCAAGCAGCCCCATGGCACCAGTGGGCAGAGTGAGAGGGTATGTTGTGGTCGAGGGGTCCGTAACCAGCCTGCGCTGAACCTGCGCTGAGCTGCTTCTTGGCCCCACGCCTCCACTCCTACCCTGCCAGGGCGAACTGAGCTGGTCAGAGGAGTGACATTTGGTGCCAGTTGCAAGTGATTCCTGTTTATTCCCTCACCTCACGTGAGTCCACAGCTGCATACATGATGTCCATCCAGCCTTTGAAGGTCGCCTGCAGGGACAGCAGAGAACAGCAGAGTCAACATGAGGTATTTAGGGCTGTAGAGAACATTAGGTGTGCCTCAAGGGCTTGGTGCTGCCAGCTCTGAGCACTCCTGCTGAGCCTGGCCTTACTGCTGCATCATGAACAGCCTCCTTATGCAAAGGGTGTTTGCTGTACATAGGCACAAAAGAGACCATGGGTTGAATGTGCAAGAAAAATGCCCTGATACAGAAATACTGAGGCTTTACACATGTGCACACACATGAGTACATGGGTATACACATGCTCCATTCTGTGCCTGACATCACCAGTCATTTGTAGAAATGCCAGTGCAAAACAGGCTGGGAAAAGAAAAAATGGTCTTTTTATTCCCCCGAACAAGGTACATTTTCCCAACAGCAGAGCCAGGCCAAGAGACGGCTGCTTCTCTCCTGCTCATTAAATCTGAGCCACCTCTGCGCAACATTGACTTCTTTATTGCTGCCTCTTATTTGGTGGGTCCTAATCCTGGTGGGGAGGGGGCACATTACATCTTTTACAGGCTCTTGCTGCTGATTTGTTAAACAAAAGGCCCGAACATGTTGTTTCCTGAATCTGATGGAACAACAAAGCTAAAGAGGAAGCTGAATTTATAGCTGATTAATCACTTCAAGTCGTGCTCCAATTCTGCAACAACCACCACTTCCCCCTGGATTCGAAGGGACTAACCCCAGCTCAGCCAATAACAGAGCCCACACCTATATTTTTATTAAAATTGTGGCAAGTAGTTCCCCTTCTGCTTGCCTTGCCCAGCTGTGGTGGGTTCAGTGGAGGTGCTGCCCTGAGCCAGGTCTGCCTGGCTGCATTTGCCCACTGTGCTGCACTGGATACACACACCTCTTTTTCCAGTCTTCATTTTCCCTATGCAAAACTCTTTCAGCTTACTACTATATCACACCCAACTTTTCAAACAGGGGAGTGGGAAGAGATGGGGAGCAAGAAAGCCACTTCCCTGCAGGAAATTTGTTAGGCTGCAAAATGGGAATAGGAGAGTGTGGATTTTAGGAAGCTGAGAGATATAGGGCAGCTGGGAGGCCTTTCATGGCTCTAACTCCCCTTTAGCATATCCCTTTCCCAAATAGTGGCACTTTAAACTTCTTCCTTCTTCTATCAACTCTTCTGCTCATTCCCATGTCCTGTGCTGTGCAGAGGACTGTTAACACAGCCATAGGCTTGGAGCCGACTACATTCATCTGCAGCAGTTCCCTCGTGATGCTTACCCTTTCCGTCTCATCTTCTACCCTGTCCCTTTCCTCCTCAACTCTTCAGGGCCTTTGTCAGCCTATGCTAAATACCAGCTTTGGAGTCAAGAGGCAGCTCAGCCAAGAGGACCAACTCTGCGTATTGGGGGAGCATCTCCCCTTAGCCCTGATGGCTATTCATGCTGCCACGGTAGGACAATGTGTTGCTTGGAGGGACAGCAGCTGCTTTCCATACGTACCACCTGTAGCAAGGACAGGTATCCCAAGCCAACGTTGTCAAAGTTGACCTTGACGTTGACCCATCTGACCTCATTGGTGTGGAGGAGGGCCAGGCAGTCACTTTTGTTGTTCACCACACTGATGTCAAAGAGCTCGCCTGTGGTGGTGTTGACACATCGGTAGTACTTCCCAGCAAAGAGGTTCACCCCCATGATGCTGAATATCAGCCAAAAGATGAGGCAGACCAGGAGGACATTCATGATGGAGGGGATGGCGCCCAGCAAGGCATTCACTACCACCTGCAAGGAGAGAAATGATGGAGTGGGGCTACACGGAGGAGTGGCTAGGGAACCAGGCTAGTGTGAGAGGGCACACCAGGGTGGACACTTGTGTCCCACTGCCCCAATCTTATCCACCCATGCAGTACCAAGTGATCTCAAACTGGGCCAAGGATATTCTAGTGTCAATCCCACTGGTCTAGAGGCCGATAAAACCCAATTGGTATCAGTCTCTGATGTAGGGGATCAGCAAGGCACCAGCTCTGCTGCATAGCGCTCAGTCACATGGCCATGTCAGAGCTAGCAGCGTGTAAGCGTGTAAGCACCTACCCTCATGCCTTCAAATCTGGAGAGGGCTCGCAGTGGTCTCAGAGCCCTCAATGTCCGCAGAGACTTGATGGCTCCCAGCTCGGAGTATCCCATCCAGTTCGCTGTCAGGCTGATAATGGAAACCTGGGGGGAGCAGCCCGAGGAATTAGCAGTATCTCAGCTGGAAACACGAAGAGGAACTGAACCACATCCCTGCACCTCCTACCTGCTCTGCTGTGTTTCTCTCTGTCTGCAGCACATCTCCTTAAGCCTGTGGTGATGGTGTTGTCTTGGAACAAGGGGGACTGGCCCTGATACCTTGGGTCCCCATCAGCTAGGCTCCTTGGCCACTGTGTTCCTTGTTTGTGCAAGGAGGTCCCTTGCACCCTTTTGGGCACAAGGGTGGAGGTGATGGGGGACACAGAAGCACTGCATGGGCTGAATGGCCTGCTGTGCCATGGAGCACTTGGGAAACTCTATGTCTGTTCACACCTCTGCCAGGGCCTAGTAGAAGAGCATTGTGGGCTTATTCTTGACAGAGACATACAACACGGAAAGGAATTCTGCAGCCATGGAAAGGTATGGCCCTTTCCCATGGAACACTTATTCTAAACAAGTGTCTAAAGCCCTTGTTCTATAGCCATTCCAATGCCCTTTAAAATACAAGTATAGGTTGATTTGCAATAGCCTGCTACAGACCTCTATTGCTATCTCCCCAGTCCCCTGGCTAACTAGGGCTCTGGATGTGCTTATCAGACAAACACTTACATCAACTATGAGGAAATCAAGCCAGCACCATGCATTGGTGAAGTACACCTTGAAGCCGTAGGCCACCCACTTGAGCAACATCTCGATGACGAAGATGTATGAGAAGACCTTATCAGCGTACTCCAGGATGGTGCGTATCGCCCTCCGTTGTTCAATGTGGATGTCTTCAAAAGCCTGGAAAAGGCGTGGAGCTATGTGACAGTCCTTCTTCCATTAGACCTGCTGCACAGCTCAGTGCAGCCATATCCACACCTGCATCTTCCCTGTTTTCCTGGGGCACAGGCCAGCCTGAATGGTTAAGAACCTAACTACAGGTGACATTTACTGATGCCCCTGATCAACACAGGATCTAACTCTTGTTTTCAAGCTCCTATTAGATCCATTGATCAGTGTTTGTCCTGAGGCAAAGCTGCACTGAGGAAAATATCTAGCTGCATCTAATACCCATCAGTCTGAGCACAAGTCAAAAGCCTGGACAACTACCTCCACCTTTAGATGCCCAGGTAGCCTTGAAAATGCCCTTAGGAGTTTGGGTCACTGATATGTCCACATAATGCATACAAAGTTAGGGAGCAGAAGTACTAGCATGGTAATCAGCTGTTGCACAGTCGTTTCAGCCAAGTGATGCTTTTGATTCTAGCACTAGCTGCAACCTCAGTCACGTCCAAACTGCATTTCAGAACTTGATGCAAATCAGATACTCTGTAAAGTACATCTGAAAACTGGAATTTGGGCCATATATCCTTCTTTGCTCTCTGTTTACCCCCAAACTTGCAGAGAAACTGGTCTCCCCATTAGCTCTGTAGATTTACAGATTCAGCTGAGCTATATTCAGCCCTAACGGTCAGAGAGGGCCTAAAGTCTGATACACAACTTTTTAATGAAGTCAATGTGAACAAACACCCAGGCATGGGGAGGGCACAGTAGTCAGTGGCTGAAAGGGCTGAACAGCAAAATAATAATCATGAATCTTTTGTAAAGCACCTCCTGACAGCCAGTTTTAGAGGTGGTGAAATGATGAACCATCCCCATAACACTAAGTAGATTTAATCTTGCATGAGAACAAGCTGAACAGAGGGGGAAGAGAGGCTGCAGGGAATCGCGTTCCCTCGAGTCCATGGACCAGAGTGAATGACAGATGCTGGTGGAGCCTGTGGAGAGGTGGCTTTAATTGTACAGCGTTAGGGCTCTGGGAGGTCAAGGATCCTGTTGCAAGGCTGTATGTTCGGCAGACCTGAACCAAATGGGGTGTTAACCCTGAAACCTCTGCCTGAAGCTGTATTATTTTCCTGCTAATCAACCAAAAGGTAGGTAGCAACAGTTGCAATGAATCTGAAAATGCCTCCTGTGCCTTCCTGGGGCAGCACAAGATACATTCCCTGCAAGCCCTGCTTCTCACTGGATACAACCAGGCAAAGTGCAGAGCCTCCGGAGCTGCTGCCAGGCCCCTGCCCATGCTCCTGGGCTCCCATTGAGTCAGGGAGCTGCTACAGAGCAAAGGGCAGGGTAGTAGGACTTACCAGTGCCCCACTGCTGAGGAGGATCATGAAGACGATGAAGGTCTCAAACCAGTCATGCTCTACGATCAGGAAGCATGTTTTCCGGAGGTTCCACCATCTCTTCCCTTTCTCGGTGGTGATGTCGACGTAGAGACAGGGACACCGCTTCACGCATGCTGGGGACAGGGAGCCATGCGTTACCTCCTTGTCAGAGCATTTCCGCAAATGAGAAGCTATCCATGCTGTTACTGCCATTTTAATTCCCTCCCCAGGAGTTTGCCTGGAACAGGATCCTGCTGGGCTGGGGAAGTGCCTGCAGGAAGGGAGCCCCATGAGCACCATTGCCCCAGTGACTGCAAGAGGATTTGGAGATTGAACCGGGTGACCTAGGGTGCTGTTACACTGCAATTTCTTAGCCTAGCAGTTTGCAATGGTTTTTCCATGTCCACCTCCCAGCTCTGCTGGCCCCTCCCAAGCTCTGCTTGGCCCCTCACCTTCGGTGAAGCACTCCTCAGGCTCGTTGCTGCCCTCAGCCTCTTCTGCTACCTCCTCCTCCACTGGCAATGGGGGCTTGTAGTCTATGGTGCTGCACAGGGATGATGCACTGTCGCTTGACAGGGGATTCTGCAAGGGCAGGGGAGAAGCAAACTCAGGGCACACCAGGCACCAGCAGTGATGCTCGCAGTCTGCCAGTGCCTCTATCCAGCTATCCTCCAGCTTCCTCTGCCCCCAGAGACACTGAGCAGTACTGGAGGATGCTCCAAGGAAGCCAAAGATAGTGATAGACTTTTCTCCTTTGCAGATGCAGGACTACTCCTGGGCAGGAGCTTTGCACCCTCTTTCCACAGGGCCAAACCCCATCTGGGGCCGCTTCAGGACCTTCCAGATTGGAGGAGCAGACCTGATGAATCCTCCCACCTGGAAGCAAGCACACAGGTGGTATTGGCCCCCATTTTATTTTATTTTAACCAGCTTCAGCTAGCTCCAATCAAGGCACCACACTCTCTGGCCAGTGCAGAAATCACACCTTTCCTCCCAGGGGCAAAACACACCTTGGCTTCCCATGTGCTGTGATGAGCAATTACCAGAAAGCTGGCAGAACAGAAACCCAGCTCCCTTCCTCCGGAAGCAGCTGGGATGGCAGCGTGGCAGGTCTCTCTGAGCATGTCCCCACCTTCTGGGTGCACAGACAGGCACTGTCATACCCCACGCCTGGGCTGCCCATGAGGAGAGAGAGCTCTCTCTTGCTAGCAAATGGCAAGGGTTGACCCCAAGCTCTGTTTCGTGAGTAACTGACATCCCGAAACCAGTCCTGGATGGGTCTTGTCGGAGTAGAAAATGGTTGGGGGAACGGGATGCTTTTCAGCAGAAACGATGGAGGACAACATCCTATTTCAAGCTTTATTTTCAGGTTTGATATGCATTTTTTCAGAAAAAAATCTGAGCTCTCCTGTGCTACCACAGGTGACTAAGCCTGAGACCTTTTTGATTCTGTTTCCACAAAGTTCATCTTTTCCCCACGACTCCAAGTCAGATGCATGAGAGCTGTTCTAAAGCCTTGCTGGGGTCCTGGCCTGCAGGCAGATATGGGTGCAGATGCACCTCCCCAGATCGCACTCGGAGAGGTTTACAAAAGCAGCAAACTTCAAGTTTCTACAAGCCATCGTTAATGGATTTATAAGGCCCCGAAAAGAAAAAAGGACAATAAGGAGATATCTGATATCAGATATCTGCTGGTGTTTCACAGGAGTATGACAGCTTCATCCACCCGAGTACTGACACAACAGCAGGAGGCAGCGAGGGAGGCTGCCGGGGATGTTTGGGAGCCCTCCCGTGCCTCCCGGCACTGCAAGTCCCTTGCCAGGTGGCTGCTCAAGTGCATTCGCCTTCCCCTTTTCCTCTGAAAATGCAACTGCCAAAGCAGACACCAAAGTGCTCTCTTGGAAGAGGTCCAGAGTGAAGCTGTTTGATCCATCGGGGCTGGAAACCTTTGAGGAACATTGGTATGGGAGCTCACACAAAATTCACTTTCTGGCATAGTTCAGAAGAAGAAAAGGTCCCCTGACCCCATCTTTCTTCCCTGTGAATCCATCTCCCATCCAGTTTTACCATTATTTCAGGCTGCTTTCATACCTCCTCCTCCTTTGTGCGTTCCCCATCCAACAACCTGACAACCTCCCTTTTGTATAATTAGACCTACAGAAACCCAGGCTCCCACCCTGGCACTTATCTCAAATGTTCCTGGCTCAGCTTGCTCTGAAGAGCTTTTAGACCAAGGTTCACCCAAGTTCAAAACCTGCATCCCAAATAGCTCTCGCCTGCTCCATCTCGCGCCACGGCTCTGTTTGGCTGCCTTCCCAGACACCACTCAGCAAGGCCCACAAGGGCTGATAACAAGGGAAAACCTTGGCAAGCCTCTGAGATTTTTTTCCTCCCTTTTTCTGGCTTTCAGAGAAGACCTTCTGCCACCTATGGGGAGGGAGCAGATCCCCATACCTGCCTGTCTTACCTGAGAGCAAATAGGAAGAAGTTTGCTGGGATGACGATCTCACATCAAGGGCCATGCAGGATGGCAATGGCTTGCACAGAAAGGAGACAGATTTCCCCCAAGGCTGCTAGCGCATTCAGTAGTGCATAAAGGAGGTGGCCCTGGAGCTGCCTGGTCCTCCAATAAGCCTGGCTCAGGGCAGACCCCCCCACGTGAGGCTGGGATATTTCGAAGCACCATCATTGCCTGCAGCCACAGGGGCCATGGTCACATCATTAGAAGAAGACACTGCTTTCAGGGGCCCTTACAGCTTGGGTACTGCATGCTATGGACAGTCCTGCCTTGAGGAGCAGGTCACTGCTGCTGTTGTGGCATGAGCTGGTGGCTCTGCAGGAGCAGCAGTACCATGCTGAGGCCATGCTACAGAGGGGGAGAGAGGAGCAGCAGGGGAGTTAGGAGGCCTAGGCACTGAGCCAAGCTAGCTGTGACCTCAAGGAAGGAGGTCCTTGGAGACCATCTGCCTCCAGGACAAAGCTTGCAAAAGCAGGAGACAGGGATGAACCTGCCCAAAAGTGCTAGGTTTCAGGAGAGAGGTGCCCAAGAGGCACTTTGCAGGCTCATGCCACTTGGGAGCTCTATGCTTGCCGGTGCCCAGGACAGGTCCTGTGGGACAAACTGGGATAACTCAGCTGTTCCCACTGCACACTCCCCAATCCACATGCCTTCCAGCAGCCCCAAGGGCTCCCAAGCCAACCATGTGCCTGTGACCAGCCAGCTTCCAAGGCAATTTCCATCACATGCATGGTACAAGAGCTCCAGCCAGGCTGGGCATTTCTACCCAAAACCCTGATCCATGGCTTCATCCATGCTTACCAGCACTGGTTGAAGACCAGGATCCAGGCACTAGGTACCCAGACTCACCCATGACCCTCCGTAACATGTAGCACTTGGCAATAGGTCCTCAATGCACCAGCACTGGCCTCCAGAGCATCATAGGGGAGATGTTATCCTGCACAGGGCATGAGGGTCTGAGGCATCCCATCCCAGAAGTTGCCAGGGCAGCTGAGGACGCTACAGCACAAAACACCCAGGGCAGAGCTCTTGGTAGTCTGACGCACAGAGGAAGAGCCCTGAGCCACAGCACCAACTCTTTACTCAGCGGGAGCACATCAAGATTACTGCTCTGTCACCTCCTTGCTGCTTAGTGGTGCAAAAAATGAATCAACCATAAGAGACAAAGATGCTTGAGGAGAGTGGTCATGCTGCCACAGTCCTGTTGTTCCTGCTGCCATGGTCACACCCTGAAAGATATTTATCCTTGGAAAGGAGCCTCTCTGGAAGGAGGTGAGCTTTTATCAGTGTTTCCAGAGCGGCTGATCCAGAGAAAACCCTCAGTTTGCTATCATCACCAGAGAGGGGCCTGTGTCCCGAGCTCAAGGCAACGTGCTGAGCTTTGGCTCCATCTGGAGCTAATCCATGGCATGTGAACACATGGAGCTAGCAGACATTTTCCCCAAGGCTCAGCTCGTCACAGCTTCCACCACTGGGTGCCTGATTTCTAACTACTGGGCCATCATTTCATGTGATAACCCTCCAGCCCAGAGCCTTTCCTGCCCCTTTGGGCAGGGGCCTGGTTGGTAACGCAGCTCCCTGGATTGCACCTCGTCTGACTGATTTGAGCTCCCGAAACCACTGTGGCTGATAGGATGAGCTGGTATTTAGTGCAAGGAGGTCCCAAGAGTCGCAGTTTGCCCACTGCATGCTCCAAACAGCCAGGACTGGCTTTCAAAACGCACTCTCACGTGATCTCAGCTGGCTGCAGGGTGTTGGAGCGGGTGCCACTAGGTGTCAGCTGAACACAGCCTGATAACACTGGGGCTGGTGTGCCAGCAGCGGGAGAAGTCTAATACCTGTATGCCACCGTTTTCCCCCAGCAGTCAGGTCACAAAGGACATTGTGGTGTTGAGGACACCATAGTGTTAGCAGATGAGGGACCAAGGCCCAGCGGTACCTGCAAGCCAGATTGGGCGTGTCTCCCAAGACCACTGGGTTGGTATTAGCATTGCCTCCATGCAGCACATTCAAGCGTGATATAGTACAGTCCGGAGGGTCTGCGCAACCAAACTGGACTTGCAGCAGGAGGAATGGGGGGGATAAATGTGCAGTGCCAACGCTCAGTCTCCCCAGCTGGCAATATTAGTGGGAACAACACAGCAATTCCCTTTGCTGCTTCCCTTGGCCAAGGGCTTTGGAGGTGCCCCAAGCAAGTCTGGCCCTCCCGAGCACAACTCAGCAGTGAGTTTGCAACAGGTCACTGCCAGCCACAGACTTTCGTGCCGTCTTCCTCCTGCAACCCCGACTGCTGAAAACAGTGTTTTGCAGAACTGTTCTCCCCGTCAGTGTGGCACTTTACCAGCTGCAGGGACGATGTGCAAACCCCACAGGCTGGGTGCTGCAGGAGGCCAGGCAGGGGACAGGACCCGCTTTTGTTCCACAGCCTGCAAGGAGTCTGCAGATGGGGAATGAGGAGGAAAGCTCTGGGATTTTGAGAGTCCTGGTTTGTTTTCCAGCCCTATCCAGATTAGCCCTGCCTAATCTCAGCCAGTCACTCAGCAGCAGCTGTAAAATAGGGGCTGCCCTAAGCAAACTGCACTGTAGCTTTTGGGGAGGCTGTAACAGCACAGATGGAGCAGGGAAACAGAGGGGCTGAAATGCAGCTGCACTGAACAGTGGGGAAGTTATACCAGGCACTAGCAGCCTCTCCAAGACCCCCATCTCACCCAAACTGCACCTATTCCAACTAACTCCCTTCTGACCTAGCAGACAGTCCCGAGCCCTGGGCAGGACTAGAGCAGAGCTTCCCACCTTCTGGGCAGACAGGTTTGCCAGCAACAGTCATGATAAGCCCCCAGATCAGAGCTGCTCCCCTACTCATACAAAAACCTCTCCCTTTCCCAGTGGATGCAATTGCTTCTCTGTGATGTCCTCACTGCCGTACATTTTCCCAAGTCCTTGGTGCAAACTTGTTCCAAGCAGTAATTTCTCATCAGACCATCAGGCTCATTTTTGTGCCTGCTCAGATCTTCCTGGGTTTCTTGTCTCACGTCTCCCTGTCATCATCTTGGAGCACGAAGGCAGTCGCCTCGATCCCACGAGCCCCGACAGTCCCCTCTGTGCTTTGACGTAGCAGTGGCATCAGCTGTCTCGTCAGCTTTGGATCCAAAATGCACTGTTTTGTGTTCGCTACTGCTAAGCGCCTCCATGTGGTTCATACCCTCCCCCGCCAATAATGCTTTCTAAGGCATTAGCAGTGGATCCAATGTTAGTGCCATCAGCAGATTTCCTGATTTTCCTGGCATCAAATTCCTCTCTAACATCTTTAACCCCAAGCTGAAGTGCTTTGACCCTTGCACCAACCCTGCAATTGCAGCAGTTTCCCCTGACATTAGCAATAACCCTGTAGCCTGATCCAAAACAGCCCATACGCTGGCTTGGACCCCCACCACAGCTCTGCCCTCCAGCTCACGCTGGGAAACAACAGGTTATTTTTTGCTAAAACTCCTCAAGTTCAGCCCATGCCACACACTAGACATTGTGTTTTGGAAAAGCTAAAAGCAACTAAAACCAGCATCTTTCTGTGGGAAGTACTGTGTAACTGGAGGTACAGGCAGATCAGCAAACCACAGAAGGCAGTCAGCCCCAGTTTTTGTGCTGAAACCATGTTGCAGCACAAAGCCCTGCCACCGCTTGTTTCTCACCTTGGCATCTTCAGTCTCGGACTGGGTGCTCGTCTCTTCCTCGTAGAGATCAGACTCCTCGGAGGCAATAGGGACATGGATGGTCAGGTTGGGGTTGTTAATGAAATTCATGTGGTCCAGTTCATCCATGAATAAATGTTCTTTCACGTTGACTCCATCCATGTACTCCGACTTGGGCTCCTGGCCAGTGTCCATGTGGTTTAGCACAGAGTTGTCCATCTTATTATGTTCTTGCTCTTCCTCTGGGGCCTTCTTCCCTTTCCACAGCCTGCGGAGTAGCGTGAGGACAGAGGTCTTTACAAAGTCGATGCCTCTGGTAATTCTGCCAATAGCAATCTGCAAATTGTTCATCTCTCCATCATCATCAGAAGCCGCCAGGCTATCGGCACTGAAGGAGCTCAGCAGCAAAGCTAAGAACAGGTTCAGGACCTGGAGGAGACAAAAGCAAACGTCAGTGCTGATATCTGGAACGAACATCACCCCCACAGGCTGAAGCAGCAGAGGCTCAGTGCTGGCCATAGGGAAGACACCTTTGCTGAGCACTTAGTGAGGACTCCCTCTTCCTTTCGCCCAGCTTTGGAGACCACATGGACGTCTGCTTCCCCAGAGTGTACTGAGACACTGACCCCCCTCCCTTGGAGGATGTGGATCACATGTCCAGCTCCTCATGCCTCCCTGGTCTGTGATGCCCCCAGGGCCACCCCAGTCCACTTGGGTGCTGGTGAGAACCTGCCAACCCATTTATGAGCATCTCCCGTGCCAGTCTGCATTTTGGCTCTTCCCAAACAATCTCCCCTCTGGGTCCTTTAGCGAGTCCCTCCCTTTGCTTTCTTTGTGCTCTTGGCCTGGCTGATCCCCAGGTGGGACTCCCCAAGCCTATGGCACTTCTCACCGCTGCTACCAGGGAAAGCTCAGCTCAGTCCCTTCTCTTCCTGGGGAGGGACCTCCTGCTTCTTGTCCTCCTCTCTACTTTCCTAGCTCCAGCAGCCTGGATGTCCAGCAAGCTCCTGAGGGTCTCCAACACCTTGGAGCCATGTAGGAACCTATGCCACACCCATAACCTCATCCCTCTTCTACTAGAGACCACTCTACTCCATGGAAAGCAGAATTTCATCTCAATACAAGCTAGCTCATGGGTTGCAAACTCAATGCACTAGATTGTTCTGACCATAGGCTCTTTGCTCTTCTTTTCTCAGTGCCTAAAACATCACTGGACCCAATTGCAGCCTCAGTGTTAACATTTCACATAGGCCAACTTGCTGCATGCAAAAAACCCAGACCCCGGCATAGCTAATGAGAACGGGAGTGGGATAGGCTCTCCCCACAGTGCAGGAGCATCGGCAAAGCAGAACTGAGAAATGCACTTGCTGTGCACAGCTGGCTGTTGGGCCAAGCCCACAGCTGTTGATGTTTGTGCCTTTTTGTACCAGTCACATATGTGAGAAGGGAATTAGCTGCTATTCAAGGTCACTGCTGTTTTCACATGGCTCAAACCATATGACTTAAAGCGCATCTTTAAATAAATCTCTAGGATCCCATCAGTTTAATATATGTATGTTAAATACCAATTACAGCTAATAGTTTCTGTTGCTGTTGGTGCTGGCTTTTTGGACACAAGTCCATTATCTTGTCACCCGACTGACTTGTTCCCTTTTCCCTTAATAATCCAAAGGAAATGCTCAAAGTGTCATTAACAGCAAAGGACAACTGGCCTCTGCCTTATCCCACTGGAGGGGAAGGAGGGAAGAAATACACACCTCCCTGCAGCCAGGATGCTCAGGAGACTGTGTGGGACATTCTCTAGGACATGGAAGTACCTGAGATGTAGAAGGGGACCCTGGCAGAGAGGATGAAGAAAGCAGATCTGGCTCTCTACTGGGCTATAAGTTTCCCCCTTGCAGCCTCATAGAGCACAGAAGGAGCTGTAAAACTTGACGAGAAAGCTAGGGTGCAATCTCTGGGCTGGCTGAACCTCCCAGTCCCTGGGAGAGCTGCCTCTGCTCTCATTAGCCAAGAAATGAGGCATTTTGCTGCCTATGTCTCCTCTGGGAGAATCTCCTTGGGGGATGGATAGACCGCCCCCCTCCAAAATCTTGCTCCAGAACTGGAAAGGTCTCCAGGGCTCTTTTGGTGGGACTGGAAGTTCTAGCTGGGTTTCCCAGACCCCGACCTCCTGTGCTGTCTACAAACCATCCTGGAGATGCTTCTGCTGCCTGCAAGCAATTTTCAGCCTGGTTTTGCATCGTGATTCAAACAAATAGAATCCCTTTAAAGGTACCATTAGAAACTGCTGCTGAAAGCTCAGCCCAGAAGGGTTTTGGATTGAGACAGATGTGGCAGTGCTGGCCACCACTAGCTGCCAGGTAGCCGTGGAGGCAACTGCTCCTCACTGCAGGTCACAGGTTGGTTTGAAGCCTCGTAGATGCAGGATGAGCCATGGGATCAGCTCTGGGCAAGGAACAGTACCCAAATCCCAACTTTGTCCTCTAATGGAGACCCTGACCTGAGCCACAGGGTGGTTGGGGTTTTACCCCCGGGCTGCCTTTGCACCACTGGAGGGCCGTGCTGGCCTGGGGATGGAGCAGCCCTCTGGCGTCCAGAAGGAGGTGCCAGCAGCTCCCCGGAGGATAGTTTTTCAAAGCAAATTCCAAAGAGCTTACACAACCCTGGCAAGTAATAGGAGCAATTTAGCAAGCTGCTGCGGCTCCCTCCCCTGCCTTGCTCCTTAAGAAGGGAGAGCAGGGCCCACGCAGCCTGGAAAACAAGCTTCAAAGCTGTCAGTGAGCAGGTTACCAAGTTTAGAAAGGATTTCATGCTCGCCTGGAACTCACAGCCCTGTGACCACAGCTCAGGCAGCAGCGCAGGGTGGCAAGCAATTCGGGTTAGAAGGGAGGTAAATGGGGCCCTGTTCAGGGTGCAAGGACAAGGAGGGCAACAGGCAGGGGTGAGGGCAACTATGGCTGGGGTTCACCAGAGCACAGGTGCTTGCAGGACTGGAGGGGAAGGACCAGCAAGAGAGGTAGTGTATCCTGGGGATGTCACCTGGACCAACTTGAGAGAGGCAGAGCAGCTTGGTAGGGTGAGGACGGGGGATGCTGGGGGTCTGTAGGTCCCTTCCAAGGGAAAGGTTGCTCCAGAAAGCACCTGGGAGCAAAGGCAAGCCCTGGGGTGAGCTGAGTGTGCGAGAGAAACAACAGTGCCTCTATCTGTCATCACATAAGAGCATGAAGAGCTGCATGGAGAGAAAAAATGAGCTCCCGCTTGTCCCAGAGCTACTCCTACATCTAAGTCCATGAAAGTTTTGGTGCCTCAGCTTCCTCTTTCACTCCTCATCTGTTTTCAGCATAAGGTCTACCTCAGGCAGAAGCTGCTTCTTATCCTAGATCATAAAGACCTGAGCACACAACACATCCCTGCTCTGGCCTCCAGGTATATAGGAGGGAAGTCTAACCCTTTGACTCTGCTCCTATATGGCTCCCACATGGCCCAGCCTATGGGAATAGCCCTGTAGATGAGCTGAGCTAGATAGCATTGGCTGGAGCAAGAGGCAGAGGGTGAAGGTGGATACGTGCCCCTGTGACACACTGTCTTTGCCCCCTATTTCATCGAGTGCCCATTCCAGACTCCAAGACTCACCACGAGGTTCCCGATGACCATGACCATCATGAAGACAATGAGGCACATGGTCTGGCCAGCCACCTCCATGCAGTCCCACATGGTCTCAATCCACTCCCCACAGAGGATGCGGAAGACAATGAGGAAGGAGTGGAAGAAGTCATGCATGTGCCAGCGGGGCAGCGTGCAGTCGAGGGAGATCTTGCACACGCACTCCATGTAGCTCTTCCCAAAGAGCTGCATCCCCACCACGGCAAAGATGAAGACGATGATGGCCAGCACCAGCGTGAGGTTCCCCAGGGCACCCACCGAGTTGCCAATGATCTTGATGAGCATGTTCAGAGTGGGCCAGGACTTGGCGAGCTTGAAAACCCTCAGCTGCAAGGAGGAAGGAGACAAGGTGTTGAGTCGCCTGGGGCTTTCACTGCCACAAGGTGTCACAGGGCTGCGAGGCTGGGATTAGATGTTTATACAGCTGTGGTGTTAGGACAGGAGAAACTAAACGTCCAGCTGCTTGGGAAAGGGCACACACCCCAATACTCCTAAACATCTATCTTGACTAGCAGCATTATCTTTTAACCTAGAGGAAGCTGGTGACTGCCATAGCCAGAGAGCTTGAAAGAGTTGCTCTCCACCCCAGCAGCAACCACATCTGCAGCTTTTGTGCACAGCTTGGCCCCGAGGCACCTACCAGGCGGAAAGAGCGGAGCACAGAAAGCCCCTGCACGTTTGCCAGGCCCAGCTCCACCAGGCTCAGCGTGACGATGATGCTGTCAAAGATGTTCCAGCCTTGCTGGAAGTACTTGTAGGGGTCCAGGGCAATGAGCTTCAGGACCATCTCTGCTGTGAAGATCCCTGTAAAGACCTGTGGGAAACGGTACCCCATCAGTCTGTGTGAAAGCAAGTGCTGACCCTTGGCACGGGTGGCACAGTGGGTGGAAGCTTGCATTTTTGGGGTACTCCCAATGCATCTCATCCCACTGGGTCAAGCCCCCATGAGGCTTGAGCTCCCCAGCTGCAGCCCTGCCCAGAGCTGAGAGCCCAGCATCGCTTGCAAAGCTGGGGTGGGAATATCGGTCACCGATTGCTTCAGGAAAGACTTAGCAGAGGTACATGCTGGTGGGGAAAGAAGTCTCATTGGCAAAGCAACCCCCTGAATCTCAGGGGATTCCTGGTACTGGAAACTGGGCTGCCCCTGCCCACAGGGCCCTGGCACTGCCCCAAGCCCTGTGCTATGAAAGCTGATCTGGCTTTTACACACTACTCTTTTCCTGGGACTGTAACAACACTGTGCATTATCACGTTACCCCAGAGCAGGAGCAGCTAAGTGACAATTAGCATCCTCGGTGCAATTGTATGGCACAGCATTTGCAGAGAGGCCCTCACAACAAGTTTTGCACTGGATGCAGATTGTGCTGGGACACACAGGTCACTGCCTCCATCTTGCACAGATGAGAGGCTGAAGGAAGGCTTCGGTGCAGGGACACCAGGGGTTGCTCCCTAACATGGCCCTTTGTGTGCCAGTCTATGAACATCCCCTTTTCTGCTCCCGCCAGCTGATTGGCACTTCAGTCCCTGCTCTCTTCACTGACTTTTTGATCTGGGAGCAGCTGCTGAGGCCTCCTTCCTGGGCACAGGTGGGCGAGTGGGGAAAGACCATGGCAGGGTTCAAGCAGAGCAGGAGAGCTGCTTCTCCTGCTCCTGGCCCAGTCTAGCCCTTTCCAGCAAATCCCCCAGCCCCACTGGCTCCCCTGCACTGAGCTCTGGGGTTTAGACACAGCCAGAGAATGCCACTGGCCTGAAGGAAAAGCCAGAGCTGTTTTTGCAGCATGACTATTCTTCGAGCAATAGCCGATTAATCCCCTTGTATTTCCTGAATGAAACCAGATACAAAGCAGCTATATGCTGATCGTCATCCTGCCTGCCCATGGCTCAGGCCCTGGCATGTGTCACTCAAGTGCCTTGGCACAGAGAGGCCTAAGCAGGTGCTGGAAGCAGACAGAAGGCAGGGCAAGGTGGAAGGAGAGGAGACAGTGAGCTCAGCCTCTGCTGGAGCCCTCCTTTCTCTCTGCTACCCCAGCCTCAAGGCTGCTGTCTTGGGCCTCATAGACTTGTCCCACTACCAGACTGCATCCCGCCGAGAGCCATTTACACCAAGGAGAAGCAGCCGGAGCAGGCTGCTAAAAATGCCTATGAAATCAGGATAGCCCAGATTTGCAGTGATTTCACCAAGGAATGCGAAAAGCCCCCCCCCCCCCCTTTTTTTTTTTTCTTTTTTTAAAGCTGCTGGCACTGGTGCCTGCTGCTTAATGGGGACCTAGAAGTTTCCAGCTTCCGAACACTGGGAGGTTACTGAAAATTAGCCTCTGCTCTGCCACGTGACCATCCAGCATTGCAAGGATACTGCCAGCATTGTAAGGACACCATGTCATCAGCCTGGGCTGGCAGCAGCTTGGGCCTGACCCCGGGCTGCAGTGTAGGGGCTGGCTCAGGAAAGGTCTGCAAGGCCATGCCACATATCAGCAACACTGGGATACACCAGGTGAGTTGGGCATCTGCCCAGAAGCTGAAGCAGAAAGGGAGGAATAGATGATTGATCCCATCACCCACATCACCACTGCTGCTCTCTTTTGCTCTGAGCCATCCTGAAGCCTGTCCCATTGGAGGAAGGCTGTGACCAATCCCACCCCGAGCACTTTCTCAGAAGCCATGAAGGGGCTTCCCAGGCATGTATGAATGCTGCTCAGATAACACATGGGCACCACAGGGGATCTGTCCCCTGGGTGGATCGTGTGGCTGCTGTGGCTGTAAATGGGGAAGTACAGGACATATGTAGCTGCCTACCAGGTTCCCCACGGTCAGCACGTTCTCAAACTCCTCTGTCATGGGGTAGTGCTCCATGGCCATGAAGAGTGTGTTGAGCACGATGCAGATGGTGATGCCCAAGTCCACAAAGGGATCCATCACCACCAGATTGACAAACTCCTTCAGCTTCAGCCACAAAGGGCAGCAGTTCCAGACCAGGAATGTGTGGGCAAATTTGTACCACCAAGGTGGGCACTTCTGGTGAGCTTCCTCCAGCTCTGAGGGCAGGAAGAAAAAATGACATGAATGTGTGGGCGTCTCCTGTCCTTCCAAGGTGGGAGGAACACCTGAACCTATCAGAAGGGACCTCTCCTGAGGTCCTGACCCAGCTCAGGACCCATCTAAGAATCTTATATGGGGGTTGAATGGAGAACCCTGCTTTTGCCTGGGGCACAGTGGCCCTGTGGACCTGATCCTCCAAACCAAAGAGTGGAGAGGCAGATCAGTCATGGAATAGAGGCCCCAATTCTGCTCTCAGCATGGGGGCAGGGTTTGAGGTGTTCCTGCCAAGCTGAGATTGCAGGGGATGGCCCAAGGGAACCATTCTGGTGTGGGATCTGCCTGAGGGTTTGTATCCCTTCCCCAGGAGGGCAGGGTAATTCTGTGGAGTGGAGAGATGTGATTTAACCCCTGGAAAAAGCCCCATAAACAATGATGGTATTGTGCTATTTTACTTAGAAAGATCTTGCTCTGAGAAGACACTCTCTGGCTTTCTTACTAAAGACTGAGGCTGAAAAGCCAGTTATTGCTGAGCCTATGGTACATTTTACTTAAATTAAGACAGAAGCTCTTGGGAGGCCATTTGGGCAGCTCTCAGGTGACTCTGGAGACCAATGCAGTCCACTGCAATCCCATTCATTTGAGTAAGATATTGTAGTATTGCCTCCAAGCTTCATCCTAGCAACCTGGGACAAAAGGCCCTGCTTGAGCAGCACTGCAGTGCACTGATCCCATACAGAGACTCTGGGGCCAACCCCTAGCACTAGGCTGGAGATTTGGGACAGCCTGTATCACTGGCATGTGATGAGAACCCCGAGCCCAGCAACATGCAACAGCTCGGCTGAAATGGCCCTCCCCTGGGCTGAGGGAGCACAATACCTTCCACAGCATTGGAGATGACGCTGACTGCACTTCCCACTCTCTTCTCAAGGCCTGGCCCATCTTGGCTGCCCACAGGGAGGTGGTTGTGGTCTGATTTCTCTGCTTCATTGGCAGGATTGAACTAGAAGGAGAGGAGGCCACAGTGGATGAATGCAGAGTGCTGGAGACTATTTAACACACTTTTAAAGATACAACAGACAAAGAAAAGGGGTGAGGGGCATGGGTCAGAGATGTGGGATGTAATGTGGGAGCTGCAGGTGGGCTGCAAGGCACTGCTATCTGGTTTGGGGGATGGTGCTGGGTTGTGGCAGTTTGAATCATGGCAGCCTGCCCCTCTGCCAGGGTTTGTCAGGGTGGGCACATTCAAGGGAAGGCAACGACACAGAGCCAAGCACCTACATCAACCACCATAGCAGATCGCTGTAGCATGGCCTTGGGGACCACTTGCCCATTGCAGTCCTTGGCCTTGTCCTGGTTGCTATTCAGGCCTTGGTCAGAGTCGCTTTTCTTCACTGCCATGCTGCTGCACAGGGAACTGCTGCTGGACTGCCTGTTCTGCAACTGTGCCAAAACCATATCTCTATCACCCGGGTGTCCGCAGTGCATTGGGACCTTCCCACAATAGTTACGGGTGGTCAGGCTAAGGAGGGACTGAATGGAGCCCTTTAACTTCCCCAGGCAGGACTTTGAAACTGAAGTCAGCCCCCATGATGTGGCTGCGCAATCTGGGCAAAGGCAAGCTCAGAGGCAGTCACAGACCTGCACAAACAGCGAGGAGGAACAACTATTGCCAGTGGCTAAATAACGAGTGTGAATTTGCACGTCTTTCCTTCCCACTTGCACACTCTGCAATACAAAATTCTCTGCACAGTGGTATTGGATCTGTTCAGATTTGGTCAGGGTGAATAATTCAGGACGACAGAACTGTGCAAAATCTCTAATTTATTTAGCAGGAAATTTTAATCTTTAACAGGATAGAACCTTCAATATAAGGTATTATTTTCTTTAAAAAAATGTGAAAGGAGTCTCTTATTTAATATCATCAGAAATATTTTATCTTACTTTTAAAATCAAAGTATCACTTTTTGTATGACCCTGACCACAATCATGTTTGGTTTTGCAAGTGCTAATTAGCAAGCACTAATGGTGCTGCAGCGGAGCAGGGACCTCTCTAGGTCTCCGGTCTGGAGAGTTTGGGGCTTTGCACCCACAGTTTGGCACGTTCCTGGAGCCAGAACAACAAAGGACTCAGAGGCAATGGGATTTCCATGCTCAGTCACTGGATATTAAATAGATTTGTGTGCCTATTTCTTGTAGCTGCTTTGCCCATGCCCACAGCCTTTTTCTCTCTGGGTCTTCCCCGCTTCTGTAAGCAGCAATAAATGAGAATTGTCCCTTAATAAAGCCTATGGGCAACTCACTGGTTAATTCATTCAGGGAACAAATGGCACCAGACTGACCCCCAGGCCTGGAGTCCCCATCCCTTGGGCAGTACCTGCTAAGACCCATCCTGCAAACACCAATGGCCAGATAAGAGCAAAAGCCGCTTCCTTGGAGGATGTTGTGGTGGGACACAGATAAGCAATGAGAGATAGAGGCTCTAGAGAGAGGAAAACACTATTTTGCATCTCTCTCTAAGTGAGGAAGCTGGTCTTTTGCCCAGACTAACAATTAGTTTTGCAGGGATGTCTCCTGAGAACACTGCTGACATAGCCCAAAATGATGATTAGAGGATATTAAAAGTGGCCAGGCAGCAGCATCAGACATTAGAGAAACTTTTACTACATTTTTACAGGTTTATTGTGCTGAGGAAGGAATCCCAAGCACTGGAAAGAGTCTAAGATAATACCACAAGACTGCAATGGAGCAAACATGAAAATCAGGCAGCTTCAGAGGCTGCCATTTCTGACACTGAGAGAAATATCAGTGCAAATTATCTGCAGTATCAAGCATGTGCATTCGCACATGTGCTAGGCGAGAACAGTGAGGCCAGACCCTGGAAGCACAGCCAAGAGTTGCGCCTCTGCTCTGGAAGAGTGCAAGGACACAGGGACCTCTCCGGGTCTCTCAAGTCCTATATTCTGTCTGCAATGGTGGCCAAAGACAAATGGTTTGCTCATTCATTTAGCTTTGCTGCAACTGCCATATCTTCCTTACGTGTTCCTTTTCAGCCTGATTGTAATCTGCCCATGCAGGCTTTCTGCCAGGCTCCTTGCTCTTGATGTGCTGCACAAAGCTGTATTATTAGTTCTGTGGCTTTTTATGTGTTGTTGCTCACTTCCTTCTTTCATATGCCTGAGTAATACTGTACTAATCTGCACTCTACCTATCTACCACATCTGGCGCTCCCTGTGTTGGTCTTTGGAGAGGAGTTGGAGAAATTAAATCTTTTCAACTTTTAATGTCTCAACTTTTGGATTCAGCTGGTGACTCAAAAAATAGTTACCCCATTCTTATCTTTTCTTACTGTGGAGCAAGCAGAGCTTATTCTTGGGTTTTACAGAAATAGAGATTCCACCACACTTGTCACTGTCTCCTCTCTTCTCCCCACCTATTCCTAAGCCACAGTCTTTACTGTGGTCTCCATGGATTCCACCAACCTGTTTCTCTTGCTCCTCCTGATGTTTTTTCAGCTGTTCCATGAGCTGCTGAAATTCTTCCTCTTTCTGCTGTGCTTCCAGCATTGTAGCATCATTTTGTTCTGCATAGGCCATAGCCACCACCGCAAGGATGAGGTTAATGAGGTAGAAGGAACCAAGAAATATAACTACTACAAAGAAGATCATGTATGTTTTCCCTGCTGCACGCAGCGTCTGTGGAAAGAAGACATGGGATGTCATGCCATGTCAGGCCCCAGCCTCGTCTCCCTCTCAGTGCTATCCCATGTCAGTGACTCTTGCAACAAAAGGTCTGGCCTTGGGTTAGAGCACCTATCTGTTCATGGTAGGAAATAAAACTTTTTTTCTCCCGAGCCCCCTGAGTGCTGGGGGACAGCAGTGAGGTCAGACCTTGACAATCTGGCAAGGCTGAGAGTCATGCCTCTGCTCTGAAATAGTACAAGATACAGAGACCTCCCCAGGTGAGACCCCTGGTCTCTCGAGTCCTCTATTCTGTCTCCAATGGTAGCCAAAAGAGAGGCTGGTGATCTAATTACCCATCCTGCAGTCCATGGCATTGTGCTGGGAATGGTGTTAAGAGGCCCAACATATCAGCAAACCCAGTCACTCTGCTCCATGTTAACTATTAATCCAAGGGCTGCAAATCTTAGATTTGGATGGAGGTTGATATTCCATCACAGACTCTTATTGCTATAATGGGAGGCAGAAGCTGTGTCTCAGCACCCAGCTGCAGAGCTCTTACCCTTGGGCCAAGGGCAGCCCTTTTCTAACTCTGGATTTGGGCACAATCACTTTCCAAAGGTCACATGGAGCCCACAGAGCTGATTTCAGCCTTCTGACAGATTTGTTTTTCTTAGTCACCTTTTAGCTAACTAGTCCCTGGATTCAGAGTTAGCATTCATCTGGCTACAAGACAGCTGGGTTCTCACAGCATCTGTGAAATTTTCCTTTCATTTTCCCCTTAGCGCAAGCCAGCACTAGATACTGCTGTAAATCCCTGATTTACATGATACAATTGACAGCAACACAGAAGCACACCCAGGCTTTGCCCTTAAAAAAAGCTGCACAGGCTGGGGAGATTCACAGAACCATGTCCCCGTTGCTGCTGATCCTGGTTACATCCATAAATCACAGAACAAGGTCCCACATGTTTCCAATCAAGGGATGATAGGTACTCTCTACCCATCCTAGGCCAGGGACTGCATTCAAACTTTGAGAGCACTTGTGAAAAAATAAAACACCAACATCGGTTGGTCCTCAGACCCTTGCACAGCTATGAGGGTATTCTAATGGTAGGAAACGATGCAGCTGCCCTTGGGGATCCCTGGCCCTGGGAAGGAGCGAGCTTACCAGCTGGAAGAGGTTCTCCCAGAAGTCTTGTGTCATGAGGCGGAAGAGAGAAAGGAAAGCCCAGCTGAAGGTGTCGTAACTGGTGTAGCCATAGTTTGGGTTCCTCCCCGCTTTAATGCACTCGTATCCTTCAGGACACTTCCTGCCAAAGGAGCCGCAAGGGCAGCAGGCGTGAGTCTGCGTCTCTGCCCCGTCTGTACCCCAACAGCCCCAAGAGCAACCCCAAGAAAATGTTTCCCACCCCTAGACAATGAGATCTTTTACCAGAAACCCTCTGGGCTGATACAACTGCGTTGCCCTGACTGTTCACACCCACAGCCCACTGCCCTCCAGGCTCCCAGTGGTTGCTCCCATCCCTTGTCCTGTGCTTTGCTAAGTATGAGTGGTCCCACAGGCTGCACTGGCTGCCTTTTCCCTCCCCAGGGAAACCTCGGGAAACCTCAGGAAACCTCAGCCTCCAGTGCGAACTCCACTCACCCGGCATCACTGCTGTTACCGCAGAGCAGGGCATCGAGCGCTCCCTCCAGAAAGTAGAAATTTGCTTTGCAGTTGGGAAAAGAGCAAGATATGAAAATTGCAGGCATCGATTTCCAAATTCTTGGCAGCTCCCTCACTGTCAGGCATATTATCCTAAATCCCAGCTTTGGGTTCAGTGCGATCTCCTCTCCACTGACTTTGCTTTTTGAATTGCACTATTTGGCACCAGCTCAGCTAGATCTCATGGCTTTGTTTCACCTACCCAACTGGATGGCTCCCAAGCCCACAAAGAGCTTTGGAAATGGCCAAGTGGCCAGGCCTCCTGGGAAGATGTATTAACATGTGGGCCGTTACCAGCACAAACATTCATGGGAGTGAATGAAGGCACTGGGAAATGCCAGCGAGGTGGGCTCAAGTGAGCAACTGCTGGGATCTCTGCTCTCCCATATAAACCAGGGCCAATATGTTTTGATGAGAAAGCATACAAAATAGCAGGGCATTTCCAGTGGGCCCTGGGTGCATGGAAACTGCAGGGATCCCAAAGAAGCCTGGGAAAACAGCCTACTACTACTCCATGGACACGGCCTTTCTCTTGCTGCTCCCATTCCAGCCAGCCCCTTCCTGGTGGAAAAACCCATCCCAGTCACAAAGGCAAGACCAAAAGTCCTTAAAGCTCATCTTTACAGCTCAGGCACAGAAAACAACTGATCCAGAGCCATGGGAGGTCCCAAGAAGCATCATTGTGGGTCACCTGCTCCCAGGGACATGTGGATCAGTACCTGGAGACACCTGTCCCCAGGAGAACACAGAGAGCAGCTCAACTCCCCTTTGGGCATCACCTAGTTCAACCTTTTCAGGAGCCACACGTTTCACAGGGATTTCTGGAGCTTTCTTAGAGCATCCCAGGCTGTGCCTGCCTTCCTGCCACCTGGCTGTTTAACCTGCATGGGATCATCAAAGAGTTGTCCCACTTATAAAACGCCAAGCACTATGCATTGGCCTGGCCCAAAGATCTGCTAACTTGAACACTTGGCCACAACAAGCTATTGCTATTTGCACTGCATTCATTACATCCTATATATTGAATTTGCACCCCTACAAAGAAACCTTCCTGTAATTAATCTCAGAGCTACTTTTACAGTTGGGTAAAGCAGCTAAGCTATAACCTGACATTCTGCTGAGCGCCCTAAACAAGATGTGAAACATCCATGCAGAGCCCAGCCTACTGCTATGTAGTGCTGCAAGCAGAAATCAGTCCCCCAAGGCTGCCTAGCAGCACATTGGCTTGCTGCAGAAATGTGCCAGGGCTGCCAAAGCCTCTGAGAGTGACAGCACTTGGAGAACATCCCTGGAGCACGTCTTTCTGTAAGCAAAGGGTCTGCCTTCAATCTGTGACCCCCATGTAGGTTTTCACAAATAATCTATTTTCTAGCAAAATGTTCATTTTTAGCACAGCAATTCAGCACACCCTAGCACACCGGGACCCTCCAAACAGCCCTGCATATCCACACAGTGAAACCTTTCTGGAAGAGTTTAGCACCCTCAAGGAATTCAGTTTTCCCTGACAAAGAGTATTTAATCCCATCTGTCCATCCTGTGAGCATGCACAGCCCCTGTTTCACCCACTGGCTGCATCTCCCTGCAAAGCCGTGTTGAAGCACCTTGGCAGAGAGGTCTGTGTGAGCAAACATCTTGGTTAGACACGGAAGAAGAAAAGGGTAAACTGAAGAGTAAACCAGGGTAATCTGTCAATGGAGAAGGGGAGCTGTGAGCGTCTACCTTCATCATTGAGGTAGGCCTCAAAATCAAAGGTGCTGTTGGTGGTAAGGTTGCTGTAGAGCGTTGCATTGGCCCATGTGTCATTGCCCAGCTCCGTGAAGTCCCCTGGCAGGGTGTCATTGATTGGGGGGGGCCATCGCAAACACTTATTCCGGAGGTTTCCCATGAACAGCTGGAGACCAATTAGGGCAAATACACTCAGGCAGAAGACTGTAAGGATCATGACGTCTGAGAGCTTCTTCACCGACTGGATCAGTGCCCCAACAATTGTCTTCAGCCCTAGGGGAGAAGGTGTCGTTACTGAGCTAATCACTCATTTGCTAATCATGGCTGACCTTCTATGTCCTTCCTGAAAGGTGGTTGGACCTATGAGGGCCATGTGGTGCTAGGGAATATCATTTCCACCCCACAGGCCCAGACCCCTTTGCTCTGTCCCATGTTAGCCCCTGCCTGCCCCTCTGTCTGTCCCCACACTTTGCTGGGCAGGATAAATCCTTCTGTGAAAACAGTCTCCCTTGGACAAATGCTATCCAAGTCCCCCCAGGTCAGACATAGTCTGGACATCACAGGTCAGACTATCTTAACCCGGCAGATTCATTTCCTTTTGGATTTACATTTTTGCTGAATTCTTCAATTTGCCTTTTTTTGGCCCAAATCACCAGGACAGAGTGCTTTGCTGTGGCACACAGAAAAGTTATTTGTCAGCCCAACTAAAAGAGGCTGAATGCTGCTCGCTGAGCTCTGGCTGCATAAGAGCTTCACTGGTCCAAAACCCCCACGTGTTGCTCTCCAGTGAGTAGTTGAAAGTCCAGCTGGCCCCTCCAGCCTGGCCTAATTCCTTTGACACGGTAAAAATCTCAGCACTTATGAAGGAAGGTGATGAAAGTGACAGTTTGCATTAAGCTCTCAGATTAAGTCTCTCTCCCCTAGCACTGTAGTTTCCTGCCACAGACAACGGCAGGGAGGAGGTTGGCACACAAATCCTCAATGGGCCTTTGATGTGGAGATTTTTATTACTGTTGCCTCCTGTCCAAACAAATGATAGATGAAGCCAGGACATTCAGATGTTGATCTTAAAGCAGCTCTGAGCACACAGTTTTCTCATATGGAGACAGTTCTCCAAATAGGCATGATTTTTAGCCCTGTCATCATGCCAATTTTTTTCCCTCCAAACTACTTAGGTAAAACCTTGTTCTCCAAGGGCTTGTCTGTGCTGGGAAATTGCTTAGGACAGCCGTTCTAAAACAGCTTATTTTTGCAATAGCTATTTCTGCACAGCCTCTTGGGTGAACATCATTCCAGAAATAAGAGTCCAGTGATTAAGAAGCTTACTTTTTGTCTAAATCCATTTTTTAGCCTGTTTGATCGAGGCCAAAAAAAAAAAAAACCAAAAAAACAAAACAAAACAAAAAACCCAAACCCTAAAGATGTGGAAGTTGAAGGGGCACAAAATGAACCGGAATGTATTGACCACAATAAACTATTGCCTGTGGTCTAATTTCACGCCTGCTCAGGGGTCTGGCCTCTCATTTCTATAAGCTTGAGCTGGGTGGTATCAAAAATGGATGATGTTAAACAGTCATCACTTTGTACTTGCACCAATACCCATTGGATACCTAAATCGTGGCATCAGAGCAGTCAGCAGCAGGGATAAAACCAAATTCAGGGCTCCAGAGGCTAAGCAAAGTGTATTAGGATCACACTAATTAAACCCACAAAACCTGATGTTAGAGCCAACGCATTTGAGGCCTCTCCGAGAAGCCCTAAAAACATTACATCCAGCTTGTCAGAGGCTTTCCCCAGTCACAGCTATTTTAAATGTGTAAAATCAGCTGGACCTGAGCCAAAAGCTGAATTATTGGAAAATCAAACACTTTTTTCTTAGAATTGCCAAACGAAAAAAAAGAATTGCTTTGACCACAGGAAAAACAGGTTAAAGAAAGGGAAAACTTGGAGAAGAGACCCTTTCTATGACTCCTACCTGGAATTACTGTGATAGTTTTCAGGGCACGGAGGACACGAAACGTCCTGAGAGCTGAGATGTTGCCCAGGTCCACGAACTCCGTGATGTAGCTGTGGGATGGGAGAGGAGGAGGTGTCAGGTAGACAGGGGCTCTGCCCATGCACCTGCCTGCCTGTTCTCCAGCCATCCTCCCTTTTTGAGGCAAGGTGGCAAAACCAGAGCTCGGCAACGTGGCCTCCTACCGTCCCAACTAACTCACGCCATGGAGATGACCATGAAGTCCAGCCAATTCCACGGGTCGCGCAGGAATGTAAAATCGTCAATGCAGAAGCCTCTTGACAGTATCTTGATGAGGGACTCAAAGGTGTATATACCAGTGAAGGTGTATCTAAAATGGGAATAGTGACTCAAAAGAGGAAGATGGGATGCTCTTCTGGGTCCAAGGGCCAGCTCAGGACAAAATCTAGGTGCCACGAGGCTTTGTCAGCCCCTGCCCGTGGCCAGTGACAGCAAGGCCGTCTTGGGTAGTGAGCTTGGCAGCTCGATGGATTTCCAAAGTGCTTTGCCACCTTGGGGAGATTTTCAGCTAAGCTCAGCTTGCAAGGGAAGTCGAAACATCTTAAGCTGTTGCCCCTTTAGTAGGACTATTCTGCAACCTCTGGGCTGTGCTGACATCCCAACAGTGCCACCTTCTCCATAAAAACCCCATGAAGACCTGGCTGCACAGAACCACAGCAGAAAGCTCTATATTTTCCTCCTCCCAGCTGTGGCAGGCTGTCCATGCTCCCTGAATGGGTAGATCTGCCCAGCCTCCCAAACTATCACCCCTGACCCAGCCCAACTTGCTCTGCAGCAGTCTTCTGTCACAGGGGGTCTTTGGACCCATGGCAGCTCCAAAACATCTCCACTCTTTGCAAAGCCTGAAGCAGAGTGCAGACATCCCTTCTGAGATCACAGGGGCCACCAGCATCTCCAAATAACATCTTTCCACCTCCCAAGAGTGCCTGGATCCCAACACTTCTACCTCAGCCATGGTCCTATCTCTCCACCTCCCAAGGAGGACCCAAGCTGGGATGTTCCCCTGCAGAGAGGGGACGTTTTGGCATGTAGGGGACTTACTCCACATTTTTGGACCACGCTGGGGGGTTGCTCATTGTCATAAACACACAGTTGGTTAAAATTGTGATCATGATGAACATGCTGAATAATTTAAAAACTGGTCAAGGAGAAATGCTGTGGCATAGGTTCCACCTGCCAAAGGGCATGTAAGTGTGTAAAGCTGAGAATCCTCCTCCTCCTGCAGCAGGGCAGAGGGCTACATCCCTCTTGTCCTGGCCCCCACCTTGTTCTTATGCCCTGACTTGCTCCTTCTGTAGGTCTCTCCTGGCTAGGTCCCATGCTCACACTCTCTCCTTAGTCCTCCTGCTCCTGCACGTTGCTTGGGGCCTTGCTTTCCATTTCATCTCCCTTCCCCATCTCCGCAGTGCTAGATCAGTCTCCTTTTTGAACCCTGTACTCCTTCCTCTCCATCACCCCAGGACACAGCTCCCACCACTCTGTCCCTCTGCCATAATCACCTCTTCTTTTTCCTCCTCTTCCTCCTCTCTCCAACCTCCTGGCTCCCAAACCTCTGCTGCCACCCACAGCTCTGCTGGGATCACTTCCCACCCATCCTAGTCCCTCTTTTGCTCCTGGAATCCTTTCCTGGCTTCCCATCTCTGTTTGCCTCACACTAAAAGTCTCAGAATTGCTCACATTGCATCCTTCCCCATACCTCGACATCCTGGTTCCTCTGCCAAAGCACTTTTTGTGCTCCCCAAGTCACTCAGTGCCCGCTTGGGACAGGATCTTCTGTTGTGGAAAGACTTTCCTTTCTTTCCAAGGCTCTGCAGATCTGGAAGACCTTGGACCCCCTCTCCTGGGAAGTCTGACCCCATAGATGTCCTCCCTGCTCTGACCAAACTGAAGCTCGGACTAAGCTGCATGGTGCCATGGGCCACCTGGCGCCATGGTGCCCAAAGTCACCAGGCACATTGGGCACCTGCTCCTTAGGAAGGCAGAAAAGCACCGGGGGGGCTGGGCAGTAGGTCCTGGCCACACCTGGGGCCAGCCCAGAAGATTTCTTTCCCACACTATCAGCAAACACCTATCTCAGCCCTCTCCCAGACATGTTCACAGTCTGCGTGTCAAGGTTTGACCTGGCCATGGGGCAGCATCTCAGGGGAGACAGCTGCTCTCCTTAGGAAGGATATGAATGTATAAGCACTTTGATGGCTCCTCTCCGGATGGGGTTGAAGGGTCCCAGCAAGTAGAGGGCAGGGGTTGCTGAGAACCGGAAGATGGACTTGCCCTTGTTGAGGACTATAAATGTCTGCAGAGAAAAGAGGAGAGAGGTTTTGCTAGCCCTTCTGCCCACCATGAAAACACTCAGCAATCAAGTGCTGCACTTAGAGCTGACCCCTCTACACGGATTTCAAAGACTGGGGGCTTTTGGCAAGGAAGGAGTATATGATGAGCTTTCAGAAGGCCAAGTTCACTGCCAGGATCTGTGTGGCCAGGCACTACCACACAGGCAGCTCTGGTTCAGAGAAGCCACCAGAGCAACTTGGAGCCATGGCTGAAAGCTGGCTCAGCAAGAAGGGCTCAGGTGAGACCGCAGGGTGTGTGAGAGGAAAGTGGCAAGGGGGTCTGTGCCTTAGTCTTTTCTGGGGACACTAACATCTATCATCAGCTCTGCCCCTTACCTTCTTATCCTTGTAGAAAGGGTCCAAGTCCTCCAGAGGTGTACCAATGAGCTCCAGTGGGGGATCACCATAGATGAGTGGCAGGTTTTTCCCGGCTTCCAGGTCACTGCTGGGCTTGAGCTCCTCTTCCTCGGGCAGCTCCACATGCTGCCGTTTTATCTTGAGTGCCTCTGCCTCAGCAATGCGCTGTTCGATGACGGTGAGCGACTCAGGGGTGAACGGGCGGAGGTGCTCAGGGCCTGGGATGTGTGGCAGGCCAGCCATATTCTCATTCTGCTCTCAGGACGCCTGCACCCAGCCTGCTGGGGAGAGGGAAGCTCAGACGACAAGGGGGAAAAGCAGGCCCATTTGCACAATATGCTGTTATTGTTAATTAAAAGCTCAAGACTTGAAGTCAGGGGACGGTAGAAACTCAGCATGCTTTTGCTAGCAGCTCTATTTCAGCAACCAGCTCTGGAAATACTGGGTTTGCAGAGGTATTACTAGTCCTCTAGAGAACTAGATCATGTGCTGATGGGGGACCCCATCCGCTTCTTCCCTTCCCAGACCCTCATTCAGCCTCTGATCAGAAAGCACCACCATATCAGACTTTTTCTGGGGCATAGCATGAGTTGAGCGGCTGGATTCTCTGGCACCAGCTAGGTGTCTTCCTAAGAGCAACTTTACAATCTAGAGTTGTCCAAAAAAGCCAAACAAACACCTTCATTTGTGGCACTGATCCAGCTCTCTCCCGTTGTGCAACATGCTGCAGTGCAGCCGTAGTTGCCTTCTTATGTGCAAGAAATGGATACTGCTCAACGCAAAAGGCTCCTTGGCAAGAGGAGCTTGCCACCCCACTGTGCCAACAGAGGCAGGAGTACAAGAAGGAAGAAGGTGTTACACTGCCCATCATCTTGATTAAGGGGAAAAGCCTCTCTTTTGCTGGCAAAGCACATTAACAATCCTGCTGGTCTGTATGTTAACAGTCCAAACCAGACAGCAACCCCAGCAAACTGTGCTGTGTGGTCCCAGTGCAGGGAGCTCTGCTTCTCAGTGGCATTGCAGCAGAGTCTGGACAAGGTCCTGCCACTCACGAGGTGCTCTCTAGACAAGAAGCAAGTACATTTCCACACTGCACTCCCCAGCATATATTAGATACCCCTCTCATCACACCTATCAGATAGACGTGGTAGGAAAGACTAAGAGCATTTCGGAAGAGAGTAAACATCTCCATATGCCACTGCAACTAGGGAGATGACAAGCTTTATTTGCATAGTCAGGTCCCCTTTTGATCCGTGGTACCATGTCCTGCTGGTACTTTTCATGGCTTTTTCAGAGTATTGCACACCAGATCCGGTGAGTCAGGGCACCCACTCCCATCTATAGGGGACATTAAAGTAACTTGCAGTCTGTGACTGATGGCTCTGCTCCCCTCCTTTCAGAGACAGAGGAAGTCTTATCTCAGGCCAAGAAACAAGTCACTGTCAATGCTGGTACTTTCTAATCTTAAGATGAGACCAACTTTCCAGACCTGGATAGGATGGATCATTTGAGAGACATAACTGTGGCTTCAGTCACCAGGCAACTAACAGAAAGGGTTGGGAGAGAGCAAAGCAGTGAAAAGATGGGCAGTGGCATGGAAAAGAAAGAGGTGACATGCCCAGAAGCAAGGCTGAAATGCCTGACAAAGGTTTCCTAGAGGCCAGAAAGGTCCTTGCTTTGTGGCATCTCAACTCAGCTTTGCCTTCATGTCTGACCCATAAACCCCAGCTCGTTTCAGCTACGAACCCTTCCCTGAAGGGTCAGGTTCTCTGCTGGGATCAGGCTGACCTCACTGATGGTGTTGTGGCAGCACAGGGAATTGGCTGCCCCTTGGGGGCCAAGGAGCTGGAGATGCCTGGCTGCAGATCTTGGAAAAAATGCTAAAATGGGCAAAAGGAAATACTTTTTCATGAAGCAGGTAATTCAACTACAGCAGTAGGAAGCTGAAAGCAAACAGAGAGGCTCAGAACTGCATCTTTAATGCTAAGGCACAGGGTGAAGATGGGAGTGAGAAAACCTCCAGTGCTTTCACTGTGGTCCCTGAAGGAAAACAGCCCAAGGATGGAATAGCAATTAGGGACCTTCTGCAAATTCCCCATGACCATCACAGCCTCTTGGGAAACAGAGAGGGATTAAGACATTTTATCAAAGAGCCACAAGCTATTTATTCTCCCTGTACTACCACTATGTCATTAATTCAGGCTCCTGCTATGCAGAAGCTATGGCAAGTCCTCAGCATCTGAATCACTTCCATTGTATGCACTGCAAGTGCAGGATGCTCTTAGAATCCAACAGGACCAGGGAATTCAATTTCCAGCTGGGAACCTCCGGAAATAAGTTTTTTTTCCTCCATCTCTCTCACGTGAGCTGACGCAAACCTTTGCAGAATGGGGCTGTTCTCAAAGTGCTTGCAGCCATTTCTCCCTCAGCTAGCCCCAAATCCGGCATCTGGGCCATCAGATTTGAAAAGAAAGTCTTTCAAAGCTTTCATTAGAATTGGAAAATGTCATCAAAGTTTTAAAGTGCTTACAACCAAGAAGTGGTAGATTTTTGGGATGAAAGTGTTCCCAGTTCTGGATCCTCCCTGGCATCAGCAGAGACCAGTTTGCCAAGGACCAGTGCCAAGGATGGGCAGACATTGGTGGTCACAGGGAGGTGGTTATGGCCTGGATGGAGAAGTGCCTTGTGCCCATGTGACAGCAGTGAATTAAGGCTCTGTCCTTTTTAGATACTCCCTAGGAAAGAAACCTGCCTTTGGCAGAGAGATGGTAACACAGCTGGAAAACAGCAGCAACCACAGCAGACATTTAGAAAGCTGGGCTTGAGCCAGAGCCCTAAAGGACTTAGATCCCCAAGGACCATTAAGGATTAATGATATTTAGGCTCCTAACTCTCTTAAAATGACTTGAAAAGTGGCTATTACTGAAGTAATAGTATTGCTGCAAGACCAAGGGGAGAGGAATTGCTCACAGACACTCAGTATATCACTATGCTCAATCCCACTTTACAGAGTTGCAGTGATCCTGTTTCACAGTTTGCAGAGTTGCCCAAGATTGCATTTTTTCCCCCCTCCTTTCTGGAATTTTGCTATTTTAATATGTAGTTTCACCTGGAATCTTAAAGTTCTCTAAAATTAGCTTTGTGAAAAATATTACTCTTGGGGGAAGTGTGTGTTGGGGAGGGATCAGTTTTTTGTTCCCATTTTGATGTTGTTTAAGAATTGCCTTCTGAGATGAACATCACGCCCAGCAAGCAGCAACAGCAGTTTAGATGCCTCAGTGCACTGTCACTATGTCTGCTGAGCATCTGCACCAGAACAATCATTATCTCAACTACTTCTCATAACCCCCGACTTCAAAACCCACTATGCTTAGAGCCAAGTTTTGGAAACCTTCAGTTCTTTGTAGTTAGCAGAACTGGACATTTATAGCCCCAATGGGAACGGACTCTCTGCACATAACCAGTATCAACACATGGTTCCTATGGTGATTATAAAACGCAAAGATAAAAGCAATGGCAGAGGGAGGTATTGATTTCAAACAGTGCTGGATAACTGTGTTGAAAAAACCCACCATGCTCCCTCACTGTCACTGAATTGAATCTCAGTGTGCAAAGTGGATTTTCCTCAGGCTTTACCATAACCTCAAGAGCTGGTGATCCCCATGGTGGCAGGGGGCATCGCACACCACTAGGGCCCTGCTTCTGCTGGACATGGTGGGGGATGAGTCCCATCCTTTGATGCAACCTCTCAGGCAGAGACCATCCTTATTGCAGTGTCCAGCCCCTACACTTGCTTCTTTTCAATCTAATCCATCACAGGAAATTCAATGCCTGGCCCTTTGGGTGCAGAGCCTCTCCTCTACACGGCACCAGAGTTATTCCCGATTTATACCCATTTCATGTTGTACTTGACCAGCTCTGGAAACTTGCCCTTGGCCTTCTCTTCCACCAAGGCCAGCAGCCTCAAAACCCAAGCTGAAGGCACAGGGCCATTGCCTGTCCCATGGGGACGTGCCTAACGCTTGCCCAGGCACAGGGGGATGGACCAGCCCCTTCTCCTAGGGCTGGGGTTTCCAAGGACTCAGAGGAGCTTGCTGGGATCACCAGTCCACTGAGCATGCAGCCAGCCCCAATTTGCCAGAAAATTAGGTTTTGCAGAGCTGTTAGGGAGGGCTGGTGTTGCAGGACATGCCAACACTCAGCAGAGCTGCAGCTCCTTTGGCTGCACGGTTCTCTTGGAGATTTTGGCTCCCTGGATGCTGCATAGTCCATATCTTCTCCAGGAGCCTTGAGTTGTCACTGTCCCCAGCACCCACAGCAATGCCCCATGCCCCCTTCACGCTTGCTGTGACCAGCCTGCGGTCCCTGGCAGAGCAGGCTGTGGAGGTGTCTGTGCATCCAGCTGCCACTGGCTATTACTGAAGGAATCAGATTTCAGCAGTTCCATGACTCTGCTCATTCCTTCTGCAGCAGGACCAAGCACAGGAGGGGAGCGCAGGCGAGTGACGCCAGCCAGCATTTCATCCTGCACCTCCTCTTCCGCTAGCCAGGCTAAATCCGCTAGCCAGACTAAATCCATCGCACTGCGCTGTGCTCATCTGGGTCACCTTGGCTGCCAACAGATCAGTCCTTGGCTGTGCCAGGCATTGCAGGGAGGGGAGATGCTAGAAGATTTTTCAGTGTCTGGCCCCACTCAGGCTCCTCTGAAGCCCCCCAGAGATACCAGGCAGCAAACTCAGGGCCTCAGGCCCATGGTGAGGATCCTCAGTTTCTGCATGCTGTAGCCCTGGAGCCATCAGCTTCTCTGGTCAGGCACTTCCACTTCCCAAAGCAGAACGCTCCAGAAGCCAAGTGCAGGCTCACGCAGGGTCCTACTGCCCACAAGTAAACCCAGCTTGGCCCAGGACTGACCCAGCAGACCCTGGTGTGAAAGTGGCTGCTATAAATAACAGAGATCAAACTCTTTGCACCTCCAACAGGTGAGAGCAGTTTGGGTACAGCAACAGGGTCTGCCCCAGTTGTGAATAGCCTTGTGAGCAACTCCCACACAGCTCAGCCCCAGTTTTGCCCTGCCACCGCAACAGTCTCGGGAGCCCCAGCAGTCGGGCACTTTCACAGCAAGGAGCATGTTTCTCTAGCTCCCTACAGTGCAGTCCACAACTGCCCACTTACTGGCTTGTCCAAACAGCCACCATGAGCACCAAAGCTTTGCCTTGAGAGCCTGAAGTGGGAAGGTGCTGGGA